CTGCATTAGTTTATATATAAACTTTAATTGAAATACTAGAAAAAACCAGAACTATTGGGTGGACACAAGCTTGTATTAAAAAAAGTATTGCCTTCAGTTCCACCAGTGTTTCATTTGAAAATAAATTGCAAGACATTAATCTTAAAAACATCTAAAGAGATTAGTCCTTTAAAAAAACAATTGGATATGTTAAAAATATATAAACAGGTACAAAAGAGAACATGAAAAAAAGAGTAAAAGAATATCATACAGATGAATAAACCGGGATATTAAAATGTTATGGGGCTATAGCTTTCTAATATATTATTAATTATTAATATATAGGTAAATATATTGTATATATTATAACACATTAAAAAACTGGGATTATTCTTAAAGAATCATCAGATTAAACTTTGCCATGATTCATTTACACAGTTGGCCTGGTAACAACTGGCTACCTCTTAGTTTTGCCTTTCTTTTTTCCAGATCAAAAAGAGGCAGCAAGACATTGTGCAATTTCTGGAAGCCAACAAGATTGACTTTGAAGAAGTGGATATCACCATGTCAGAGGAGCAAAGGCGATGGATGTATAAAAATATTCCTCAAGACAAACTGCCTGCTCAGGGCAACCCTCTGCCTCCCCAGATCTTCAGCAATGATGAGTACTGTGGAGTAAGTAACTTTCAAAGTTTGTGGTTTCTCCATTTTGTTACAGAAGAGAAACTAGGAGTGTGTTGGACAATAACTCCAACATCCACAGATAGCATGAATATGGACGGCATCATGGTGAAAGCTGCCCAATTAGGTCCCCTCTCAAGTGCTCAGGAGGGGTTTTCAGATTATACCAAGGAAGGATGGGATAAAGAAACACCTAATGGCTGATTCCCCACTATAAAACCCCAACAATTTCTGAACTGTTTCTAGTCTTAGATGAAATTTAACAAGCTTGGTGGAAACCAACAGGAAAGAGAAGCATGGCTATACTCTGCTTGTTCCTTTAAAGCAGCCATCTCTGAGAAGTTTTGAGTGTATCTGAATACATACATTCCTGGTGTTTCTTGCTCTTCTGAGATGTCAAACATCCATTGTCCATAAAATAAAGACAAGGTGATTCCCAATCATTTATCTCCATCAGAATCATTATGAAGAGTAATATGCTCCCCAGTAGGTCAGTATATAACTTTTTGTTGGGTCAAGTTTCAGCTTATTAGAGAACTTGCTGCTTTATTTTACTCTGTGTTCCTCTGTTGTACCATCATCAGTTAGAACAGTGATTTGGATATTGGAAGCTGGTTGGTTGCCACTCGATTTTATTAGTCATCAGCCAGGCTGCCCAAGCATCATCTCCCAAGGAGTTCTGAAGGGATGTCTGTCTCTTCCTTCCAGTAATGATGGGAGAATATTTGTTGGCTCTATCTGTGGTGGTCTGTGACCATAATAAAGATTTGGTTTGACTTGTTGGTTCTCTCTTAAATCCCAAGGAACAGCTTCAGTTATGTGAGTATCTCTGTAGCCCACAAAACTAGAGGCACAGAGACGGGATCACAAGCTTCAGTCTTGTGATCATTAGGTCATGGGAAATATAAATCTGATTTCCAAAGTATTTTTGGTCTTTCTGTACAGAAGCCAAGTGGTATACTTTTCTGAATAAAGCAGTCCTTTAACAGAAATGCTTTATAGACAATGAAATTTAGTTTGAAAAACCTCCCAATAACTATCTCAGTAATAATGTTAAATTTCTCTCTGTTAAGATTTCTTTTTCTGTATGTTTTCAAGTGTTGTGGAGAAAATGGAGCAAATATCCTTGGAGATTTTTTTATGGTTGAGCAGAAATCCTGAAGTTGCTACTTTTGCTGATAAATATATAACAATCAGCAGCCGGCTACCAAGGACAAAATATTACCCTGATTGAGAATGCTGACAAAACTGTTGCTTTTTTTTACATACAGTGGGGCAAAAAAGTATTTAGTCAGCCACCAATTGTGCAAGTTGTCCCACTTAAAA